GTGAGTTTGGATTCTCCATTGTTGCGAGTTAAAGCTTAAAAGGTAAACACAACAGTCTAAACGCTGCGGCCACGTCCCATACCATGACGGATCGCTGTGACATTTGCTGCATAACGGTTGTCGCTTTCTGAGATAAAGGCTCCTGCAAGTGTATGCGAGATTCGCAAAGAATGTGCCAGATTGTGTTACCACTACATCCATCCATCCGTCCATCCATCCATCCATCCATCCGTCCATCCATCCTTCCATCGATCCACCCACCCACCCTACAGTTTTCTACAGCCATAATGTTTTAGGGCTCAGGTCAGTAAAGATGTTACTCATGATTGGGCCTCGCTGCACTACTCTTGAAATGCACAAAAGACAAAAATCATGGCCGTGTATCTTTCCATATTCTCGCGGAAGATTCACTCTCGTTTTGCACATTTCGAGAGTGGTGCAGCGAGGCCCATTGTCTTGTATCTATTTTCGCCATAATGTTACAAGTTCGGCAGGTCAGAGAGAATAAGGAATGTGGATTCGTCACTCCTTGTTGTTGTTGTTGTTGTTGTTGTTTTTCCCCTTTTCGAAACGTCAGGCATTTAGATTGTGAGTACAGTATGTACCACTGAGACTGCCCTGTTGTGGTGGAGACCTTTTTTTGTTTTTGTTTTTGTTTTTGTTGCTGTGGTGGAGGCTGCATTATGTTGTTTGGTCTTCCTGTTTCCAGTGCGAGTAAGAAAAAATGACTCCAAAAAAGGAAAAAAAAAAGACTGCTGGAGACGCAGCTGATGACACTATAGAATTATACTTAGCTTTCCTGCTTTTTGATTGCTAGAATTGCTTGCTTGTTTGCTTATTGGCTTCATTTGCTTGCTTGTTTGCTCATTGGCTTCATTTGCTTGTTTGTTTGCTCATTGGCTTCATTTGCTTGCTTGTTTTGTTTTGTCTTTGCTTGTATGGTTGCTTCTTGTTGTTGTTGTTGTTGTTGTTGTTGTTGTTGTTGTTGTTGTTGTTGTTGTTGTTGTTTCCGATCTATTCGTTGGGAGCATCACGTGCTGAGAACCGGGCTCAGCGTCCCTTCTGAAATACATAGTTGAAAAGTTTGCGAGTTCGAGAAAAAAATAGTCATGAACCTGAGGTGATCAAGAGTCACAGTGCTGGAAAACGGGTCCAGCATCCCATACTTCTATGTGGCAGCCCCTGTCTCCCTTCCTTAACCCTTGGGCTTGCATGGATACCAGAAG